CCCCCCCCCCCCCCCCCCGCACAGGGGCCAGTCTCCAGGCCCAGCCCCCACGGAATGCAGCTGTTTCCAGCCTGGGAACCCCCGACCGACCCAGATCCCCAGGGTTCAGAAGCCCATCTGCCCTGGGCTGAGCCTAACACTACAGTGAGCAGGGACCCAGCTCCTGGGTTCTGCAGGCCGCTGTTTCTACCAGGGAATCTTGACAGATGGCACGTGCCACAGTCAGAGTGAGCGTCCCCCTTCCTGGACTCAACCCCTGGACACCAGGTCCCTACCACGTCCCCCTGGGTGGTTAACCAGGAGCATACCCATTCTCAGGGATGAACTGTTGACTGTCATTTCTGTAGACTGATTTTCTTTTCCAATTAACGTTCTCCCTCCTCACAAGATAAAACTGACATTCGTCTTTAATGAACCATATCCCTGACAGTGTTTACTTTTTTTTTCTTTAAACATTTCCAAGGTCTAATTTCAAGACTGGCTCCTTGGTACAAAGAAATACATTATATAATAAAATGCTGAATCCTCTGTGAACCAAAAAATTCCTAAAGAGAAGGGCTTGCTGGACACAAAGGTGCACTCCTGTTAATCCCACCTACTCCGGAGGCAGAGGCAGGAGGACTGCAAGTTTGAGGCCAGTCTAACAATTTAGCAAAACCCTGTCTCGAAATAAAAAATAAAAAGGAAGGGCTGGGGATGTAGCTCAGTGCCTCTGCGTTTGATCCTAGTACTGGAAAAAGGAAACAAAACAAAACAAAGCAAAAACAACAACAGAGAGAAGACCTTAATTTTTGGCAAAAGCAACAACAAAACGGCTCAGGAAGCTGAGGCAGGAGGATCACAAGTTCAAAGCCAGCCTCAGCAACAGCGAGGCCCTAAGCAACTAGGGAAACCCTGTCTCTAAATAAAATACAAAATAGGGCTGGGGATATAGCTCAGTGGTCGAGTGCCCCTGAGTTCTATCCCCAGTACCCCCTCCCCCAAAAAAAAAAAAAAATATCATTGGTAAGTGAGGATGATATCTTAAGGGATTTTTTTTTTTAATGAGCACAGATAGCACACACACACACACACACACAAAAAAAAAAACTCAAGTTAACTGTTAACTTAGGGTCTAAATATCTGTTTCAAATGAGTGCTGTGCTTACCTCAAAAGGCTACCTTATCAAAAATAGTATGAAAAAAAAGAGGGCATATTAAAATAATTGTTTTCTTAAAAAAAAAAAGAGGAAAAGCCAGATGTGGTGGCACACAGCTGGAGTCCCAGCAACTTGGGAGGCTGAGGCAGGAGGATCACAAGTGGGAAGCCAGCCTTAGCAACTTGATGAGACCCTGTCTCAAAATATAAAAAGGGCTGGGGTTGCAGCTCAGTGGTAAGAGCACTCCTGGATTCAATCCCCAGCACTGCAAAAACAAAACACAAAACAAAACGAAACATYAGAGGAAAAATCTGCAAGAAAGTACATAAAACAGTGCACAACGGTAATGCTGAGCTGATAGAGTAATGGTGATTATTTTCCTTCTTTTTCCAAATGCTATTGTGTATCATCAAAGGTGTGTGCAGGGCTGGGTACGGTCAGGGGAAGAGCATGGCTCAGAATGCTCAGGGGCCTGGGCTCCAGTTCCAACGACACCCCCTCCCCCACCAAAGGTGTTTACAGTTAAACATACATAATTTTTCTGTTTGGGGATACTGAGAACTGCATTCAGGGGCACTTGGTCACCGGAGCCACATGCCCAGCCCTATTTTGTATTTTATTTAGAGACAGGGTCTTACTAAGTTACTAAAGGCCTCACTATTTTGCTGAGATTGGCTTTGAACTCTCGATTCTCAGCCTCCTGAGCCACTGGGATTACAGGCATGTGCCACTGCGCCCAGCTTTTTATTTTAATTTTTTTAATATTCATTTTTTAGTTGTAGTTGGCCACAATACCTTTATTTCATTTATTTATTGTTTTATATGGTGCTGAGGCTTGAACCCAGGGCTTGAACGTGCTAGGCAAACGCTCTACCGCTGAGCCACTACCCAGGCCCCAGCTTTGTGTTTGTTTTCTGAAACAGGGTCTCACTATATTGTTCAAACTGGCCTCAAACTTGTGATCCTCCTGCCTCAGCCTCCACAACAGCTGGGATGGTCACAGGACCATATCTCCATGCCTGGAGATTTTAAAAGCAGTACTTTTATATTTAYGTATGCTTTATGAATAATTGTAAAAGCACTAAAAAAAACTTGGTGTATTTTTTTCTGAGGTTTTCTCTTTAAGAAGGGAACAAAAGTGTCCCAAACCTGTTTGGAAGAAAGACTGAACAACAGAAACGAAAGGCCTCCTTACCTGAGGTTTAACTTTCGGTCTTCATCGCTGCCAGCCTCCAACTAGGGAGAAAGAAAGAGAATGTCACAGCCAGACAGCACTGTCAACAACCTCAGACAGCAGGCCCGGCCCTCTGCCCTGGTGTCGGAGAGATAAAGATGTCCAGGAAACCTGGCCACTTGAAACAGCCCTGCCCTTTCCTGGCCAGCCTGGTCTGCTGTTCCCCTGGTGATTCCCAGGGAGGGATTTCCAGATTTCTAACTGTAGGCCAACCCTCCTGCCACCCACGGCCTGGAGGGCTGAGCCCAGGGACCGTTCCCACCTGGCAGTCCTTCAGCCCTCAGTGCTCTTCAGACTTGCTCTAGATCTCACCCGGGGTTATTTCATTTCATTTTTGTTTTTGCTGTTGTTTGTTTTTTCTCTTAAAGGGAAGGGGCCGTGTTTAATGGAATCCACTTCCTCTGCCAACCCTGCGACAGCCCTGAGAGGAAGAGCATTTAAGCAATCCGTTCCAGGCAAGTCTTGGACCGTGGAGGGCGCCAGGCAGCTGGCCGTTCGTGGGCCTGAGACGCTCTTGCTGGTTCTCAAAAAGACTTAAATGTTTCATATGGAAGGTTCCAGGCTGCTGGTTCATTCATATAAATGAAAGGAAGTAATACCCAATATTTTCTAAAAGCGAAAGGCTGAGAGGTGGAACTCCAAAAGTCACTCTGACTGAAGTCCCAATCACTTATTTTTATTTTACTGTTTTCCAGAAATGAGCAGAAATCACACGTGCCCCCCAAACACCTCCGCACCCCAGGGACAGACACAGAGGCACCCAGTGAATGGAGGAGGAAGCCCTGGGGAGGCTAGATGGCCAGGGAGGCCCACCGAGGGCAGGACGAGGCAGAGGCCCAGGTGCCAGGAGAAGGCCCAGCGCAGCAGGGGACACACCCCCAACAGGGAGGTGGCCGTTCCAACAAGAATGAGAACACCAAGGATCCCGGAATCCCAAGTGGTGAGGAGATGATGCTCAGCACCATGCAGAGGCGCCCACGCGCTCAGGGTCCCTTCCCCACACTGGAGGAGTGAAACCCAGAGAAGCACAACAACACTCTGACCGGAGGCTCTCCACAAGGGGACACTGGGTGGCGTCCAGAGGCGTTTGTTGTTGTTGGAGGGTGCTACTGGCATCTAGTGGGTGCAGGAGGGGAAGCTCTGAGCATGGCATAGCACGTGAAGAGCCCCCCAGAACAGAGAACCCCGGGATCCAGGGGTCAGCAGGGCCCAGGCAGAGAAACCCTGGCCGCCCTCCCACAAAACCACTTGGCAATTTGCTTATGAAAATCGGTCACCTTGAATCTTGGTCAAAAATAACAATGTTATGATCCACTCCTGAAAGCTATTGATTTATCTACTCTCTGCTCCGCCTGTTCCCACAAAGGACCTGAGATAAGCTCATGCAAGAGATAACTACAGATTGAAAAAGAAAAGGGGAAAATAAAACTGAGGAGAGAGAGTTGCTCCAGGGCTCAGGGCTGTGATTTCCCTCAGAGCCCCACAGACAGCTGTGTCAGGAAGCTGCTGAGGTGTCCGTGACTCACCCAGGAGCTGCCCTTTGATGAGTGATAAAGGGGTGTGGGGGTACAGACTTCACAGCCACTTAATTCTCAGTCGGCCTCTGGGGCTTTGATGCAAGGCAAGGTGAGGTCAGTTACCCCACAGAAGCTACAGAGCTCTTGAAGAGGTGACCCAGTCCTTTCAGAGGACCTGAGGCACAGAGAAGGCAAGTGACCTTAGAAAGGGCAGACCAGAGGCAGAGCCAGTCTGGACCCGGGTCTGCTAACTCCACACACACCTGCCTTCCCTTCCAGCCGGCTTCTGGCCTCACATCTGGAAGACAGCCTCACCCTCCTGAAAACAGGCCAACCTCTGCTCCTCATTGAGCAAAAAAGGCTGCTGATATACTAAAGTCAAATAAAATCCAGCTGAGTTTTATTCTGCTCAGCTAGGTCCTTGGTGCTTGGTTTAAAAAAAAAGACACTTTATATAATAATTTTAAATGGGCCTAGTGGAAAGAAAACAAATGTGCAACCAAACGTGGTACACGTGTACGACAGTGTTATCAAACACAAAAAAGGAATGAAGTAACCGGGCGAGGTAGCACACACCTGTGATCCCTGCGACTCCGGGCAGGCTGAGGCAGGAGGATAGCAAGGTCAAGGCCGGCCTCAGCAACTTAGTAAGGCCCTAACTAAGTCACTCAAGGAGATCCTGTTTCAAAATAAAAACTAAAAAGAGACAGGGATGGAGTTCAGAGGTTGAACCCCTGGGTTCAATGCTAGGTACCGAAAAGAAAAAAAGGTAATGAAATACCACACAACATGGAGGAACCCTGGCCAAGTGAACAAAGCCGGACACACAGGCCACAGGTCGGATGATTCTAGTTCCACGAAACGTGCAGAACAAACATGGAGAGAAAGCCAATGAGTGGAGACCTAGGGTTGGGCAGAATGGGAAGGGGAGGCCGCAGGTCGTGCCCACGGGTTTCTTCCTAGTGACGAAAACGTTCTGGAATTATAGTGGTGATGGTTGCACAATCTTGTGAATATATTAAGATCACTGAACTGTACACTTTAAAATGGTGAATTTATGTTAGGTGAACATATCTCAACTAAAAATTAGATTCTAGAAGTGTGTCTAAGACAGGAATAGATTAGATGGGGTTCAGGAATCAGAAAACGCAGGCTGAGAGGCCCTTCCTGAAGCCAAGCTCTCCCCTCAGCTCACATGCTTTTTGCGAAAAGAACAGGAGATGAAGCGCGTTGTAAAGTACTTTGTAAACTGCCAGACAGAAGTAACAGGAATGATGGACGAGAACAGATCTCTGTGGGGAGCAGCTGCCATAGGCAGCCAAACTTCTCAGTAACAGTAAGCAGCAACCACTGTCCGTTTGCTTCTAATCAGCTCACAGAGGGGGAGTGCTAGAACCTTCTGTCTATACAAGAGATAACTCACTGGCGGCCCTTGGAGAGGAGTGGGCTGTAGAGGCTCAACCTCGCAGCCTCGCTGCACACGTTCCTGCCAATCTCAGCAAAACCATGCTGAAAAGCTACATCGCAGGAGACAAGGCTGCGAGACCCAGCCCAAGTCCCCTCCCTTCCGTCTCTCAGAGACTCACACAGCCAGTCAACTTCCCCCACGGAGAGCCGGCCTGACAACTTCCTGGGCCTTCCCTAAAGAGAGTAAGGGGCTCCTCCTCCAGCAGCTCGGTCTGCAGGCCGACGCTCAGCCTTGCCATGGAGAGGAATCTGGATGAGAGGCCTTTGAAGGGTTCTCTAAGGGAGGGTGGTGGAGACTGGACCCAGAGGGTCAGCCGATTGAAGCTGAAGAGGAGTGACCTGCTCAGAGGCTGGGGCTCCCATCCTGCAGACTCAGGGTGCCAGTTCCCCCATTTGCCCCGGAGCAAGGAGTCAGCAAAACATGAGCTCGAGGCACACAAATACCCTCAAAAACCCTCCCAGTGCAGCCATCTACCCTCAGCTCGGGGAATGCAGCCACCAAATCCCAAGAGGGGCCGAGGCAGGGGGACACAGGCACATGAACACCCAGCCCTAAATGGCGTGATGAAAGGTGAAAATCCAGTCTCAGCTGCACAGCGCGCAGGGCACTCAGTCCCTGTCCCACAGACAGCCAGACCTGAGAGGTGTGCAGTCAGGTTCAAGATCTCACACCTTTGCTCGGTCAGGACTGGTGGCCTCGCTCCCACAGCATCACCCCTGCACAGTCCCCAGCCCAGGACCAAAGTCACCCACAGTCTCACACACACAGAGCCAGGCACACGGGAAACGGGCCTAGAGCTGCCACGGGTCACCGATCTCAGGACGGGCGACTCGCGCGCACCGGGTCCCGGCACAGCTGCCCCTGGGCGGGGGGTCACCGCACTGGCTCTCGGCGCCGTCGCCCCCCGCCCCTCACGCGCGGCCCAGGCCCGGGACGACGCTGCCCCCAGCCGGCCGGGGCGGCGGACCCGGGGCTCACCTCGCTGTTGCTGGCCGAGGAGGAGGCGGCGCTGGGCGTGGGCGAGCGCTGCAGGGTCACCAGGGCCATGGCTGCGACGCGCGAGGCCTGGAGCTGGAGCCGCCGCCGCCGCCGGGCCGGGCCCGGGGCCTGCAGGAGCCGCGCGCGGGCGGCCGGGCCGAGCCGGGCCGGGCCCGCCCCTCGCCCTCGGCGTCCGCCGCCCCCGCCCCCCGCGCCGGCGCGCGCCGGGCCTCGTGCGCGGGCGGGGGAGCGGGCGGGGGAGCGGGCGGGGCGGGAGGCGCGGCGGCGCGCGTGCGCGGCCGGAGGCCGGGGCTGGGCGGTCACGTCCCCCCGACGCGCAAACCCCCAGCGGCCGCGCGGCTCCCTGGCGCCCGCCGCTCTGGCCTGGGGACCTGGTGGCACAATCCCGGGTGGGGAAACTGAGGCCTGGGGACCGCTCAGCCAGGATGCATGGGAGAGAGGCCGTGCAGGGACCAGGAAAGGGACCCTGGGACCCTGCGCCCTGCGCTCCTCCAGCCAGTCTTTGCAGCAATTCGTGGGCTCCTTCATTCATCTGTGAACTATTTCTTGAACCCACCGGGGAGGGTGCCACAGAAAGTGCCGTGGAGTTGGCTGCGCGCCGTCGGAGATCTGACGGGTTCATCGGGTTATTAAGTGCATTTTCAAGACGAGTTTGCTTGGGGTTGACCGTGTAGATCCGAGGTAGCCTGCTTCCCCAGCAAGCCGCAGCCCCTGGGTTGGAGCCTCAGCGGCGTTTTTTAAAAAAGTGGTTCGCTAATCTTGTTCTATGGATTCCTTTTATGTGTCCAGAAACCCAGCTAGATCCTTGGAGAGCAAGCGGGTGGGGTGGGAGAAAGTTTCCCCGAGGAAGAGATGCTCCAAGGCCTGACTGTGCGCCAGCTTACACGTGGAGGGAGAGGAGACAGCCCGCTGGCAAGGGACCCTGCGGAGCCCCTTCACAAAGACGGGAAACAGGAAAGGGGTTGTCAACCAGAGGCTCAGGCCCCGCTGGGGGAAGAGGAAGGAGTGGTGAGAGTCAAGTCCACTCTTGAAAGATGGCTCTGGCAGAGAATGGACCGTTGGGCAGTGGGCTGCTGTGGGTCCTGGGGAGAGCAGTGTGGGGGTGGAGAGAGGGAAAGGGATGTGAGCCAGACACCAAGGAAATTGTACTGGTGGACATAATAATGGGAAGCTTCTCTTTCACCCAGAACCCCCCTCCCAACATCACTGTGTGTAGTAGGCACACTCCTAAGGCAGGCCTCCAGTTCTGCTCCCCATTGTAGCAAATGGCTCCACCTTGCCCACCCAGAAACCCACTGGGTGTTCCCGATCCATCAAGTCCTCCATAATCCCTGGGCCAAGGCCTCAGCACTATCCATCTCAAGGGGCTCGTCAATCAGGGATAAAGAGCTGGAGATGTAGCTCAGTGGTGGACTGGCCCTGATTAAATCCCCAGTAGCTGGAAACAAATGAAATACTTTTCATTCGGAAGCTTTGTCCAGAGTGGGCCACCTTTAGGGAAAAGGGAGTGTTTTGTTGTTTGTGTTACTGGACATGGAACCCAAGGCCTTGTGCATACCAGGCCAGCACTCTACCACTGGGCTACACCCCAGCCCAAAGTGCCCCTCACATTAGAGCAGCCAGCACTACACACCTGTCCACACTCTTAGTGGACAGATGGCTACGTGGATTTAATACTTATTTTCAAAGGTCAGATATAAAGCCGCGTTGTGGACACAGTTCCATAGAAAAGGGACTGTCTTCTCAAATCCCAGCACATTATCAGAAATAGACATAAGCTTCTGAGACCTCCCCACATCCTCTCCCCAGGGAGCTCTGTCCAAGCATTTGCATATGACAATGCATGTGGGTTCATTCATGCTTTATTTATTTCTTCTGTGTCTTCTTTATGTTAGTTTTCAAGTTTGAGGGTTAGAGAATCCCCTGGAGAAAACACCCTAGGCCCCACCCTCCAGGGTTTCTGATTCACTAGATTGTGGGTAGGACTGGAAAATTTGCAAGTCCAATGATGCTTCTGGTTTGGGGACTACCATTTAAGACCCCTTGCCATGGCCTCCTTACCAAGAAACTCTTGCCTAGATCTGATCCTGCTATTTGTCCTTGGCCCTAGGTCCTAATGCCCCTGCCCTGGCCCTGCCTGCCTCTCACGGCCTCCAGCTTGGCCCTATCTTTCTGGAGGTGAGCCCCACCTTTTCTCACTTCCTCCTACAGCGAGAAGCTCTCTTTTCTCCCACAGTCAACTCTTGCCCCAAACCCTCCCTGCCCCTCAGTAGAGTTCCTTCCTGGACTTCATAGCCCTTGTCTGCTCCCAGCCAGATCAACAGCTGCTCCACCATCATGATACATTCATCTCCCTTCCACCACCGTCCCACGGTCCTCACAGAGCAAAACGGAAGGGGATGCCCCCCAAACTCAGTGATCAGAATGAATTAAATTTGGGGTCTCACTAAGTTGCTTAGGGCCTTGCTAAGTTGCTGAGGCTGGCTTTGAACTCGCCATCCTCCTGCCTCAAACTTCCGAAATTACAGACGTGTGCCACTGCACCCAGCAGGATAAATAAAGTTTTAATGCAATTTTTTAGGATATAAAAATGAGTGCAAGGGCTGGGACTGTAGCTCAGTGGCCGAGCGCTTGCTTAGCTTGTGTGAGGCCCTGGGTGTGACCCTTAGCACCGCATAGAAATAAACAAATAAAGGTATGCTGTCCATACACAACTACAAAAAAAAATATTTTTAAAAAAGAATGAAAGAAAATCCATAAGGAACCAAAATTTTTTATTTTTATTCTTTTAGTTGTAGATAGACACAAAACCTTTATTTTATTTATTTGTTTTTTATGTGGTGCTGAGAATCGAACCCAGGGCCTTTCACGTGCTAAGCGAGCGCTCTACCACTGAGCCACAACCTCAGCCTCCCCCCCAAATTTTTTCTTAATAAAGACAGAATTTCCTTTCACCTCAGTCTCCCATAACAATTTTATTGATTTGTCTTGATTTGAAAGTTTGATCATGCTAAACTCTTCTGTGAAAATAGCCTGTAGCCACGCCGGGTGGCGCATGCCAGTCATCCCCGCAGCTCAGGAGGCTGAGGCAGGAGGATCCAAGCCAGCCTCAGCAACTTATCCAGGCCCTCCTCAGCTCAGTGAGACCCAGGCTCTAAATAAAATATGAAAAAGGGCTGGGATGTGGCTCAGTGGTTAAGCGCCCCTGGGTTCAATCCCTAGTACCAAACAAACAGCCTGCAGCTTGACTCTGGTGACCTATAAGAGATGGGGTGGGAAGGAGAAGTGAAAACCCTCGGGCCACAGTCAGTGGAGTCCCAAGGAACCTGCAGAGGAGGAGGCTCTTGCTAGAGGCGGCTCTGGAGTTATTTTACGTCCAGCCCTTCCCGAGGGGCATCATCCTCGTGACCCTTTTTTACCAATACTTGTGTAATCCCCTTTGACCTCACTCTTGGAGTCACAGTTCAGTTGTGTAACTATTGAAAGGTGCACAGGGCTGGGTTGTGGCTCAGCGGTAGAGCACTCACCTAGCACACGCAAGGACCTGGGTTCGATCCTCAGCACCACATAAAAATAAATAAAATAAAGGTATTGTGTCCAACTACAAATAAAAAATAAATATTGAAAAAAAATTGCACGTTATTGAGTTTGGGTACTCTCAAGTACGGTGGGATGTGGTGTATTCCAGGGACACTTCCTCCAGGAAGTCTTCCCTGGCCCCTGACGGTGTTGGGGTCCCTGGTCTGTGCCTTGTGCGTCCCTGGGTTGGGCAGTATTAGCTATGTCAGTCACTTCTTGTCAGTTGTGATTCTCATTCCCTGGATGATCCCATTTCACGGATGAGGGAATGGAGACCAGAGATGGTCACTCATCCAAGTTCACAGAACGAGGGCGTGGTAGAGTTACTATGCAAACCCATGTTGTGCTGCTTTAGAATTCAGGCCAAAGAGTCAGGCACAGTGGTGCAAAACTGCCATCCCAGCTGCTCAGGAGTCTGAGGCAGGAGGATGTCAAGTTCAAGGCCAGCCAGGGTGGTTTAGCAAGGCCCTGTCTCAAAATAAAAAATAAAAAGAGTTGGAGATGTAGCTCAGTGGTAGAACATCCCTGGGTTCAATCCCCAGTGCTACAGAAGAATACAATAATATAAAATAAGAAAAAGTAGAATTCAGGCAAAATGTTATCATCTTTTCCCAGGATGGTTTAGGAAGAGGGAAAGGAAGAGAACTCTAGTTCCTTTTTTTTTTTTTTTAAAGTGATGTATCTGTTCTTTTTCTTTATACCTTTCTTTCTTTCTTTCTTTCTTTCTTTATTTATTTATTTATATGTGGTGCTGAGGATCAAACCAGATGGGATGAGTGCTTGTAGGAGCCTGGTGAGTTCTGATACGGGGGTTGTTACAAAAGAGCAAGATGCACTCCACCCACTTCCCATCTCACTCCACAGTCTCCCCCTGGTCACTAACTCCCGCCATGATGCCATCCATCAGAATGGGGTGTGGCCAAGTGCGGCTACATGGGGCCATTCCGTGACTCTGAACCTCCAGAATTGTGAGCTAAATACATCTCTTCCTTCTGCCTTGTGAAGATGTTCTGTGGCCACGAGCCAAGCCAAGGCACATCCAAGATTGCCAGCAGCTGAGAGAGATGTATGGAATGAATTCTCCATCTTCCACGGGAGCCAATCCCGCCAACAGCTTGATGAGATATTTTCCCTGTTTCTATGTCTAGTTTCCCTTTCCCTAGGGACACAGTCGTAATGAACTAGGACCCCTGCTAACTATCTCACTTTCCTTTGATCATCGGCAGAGACCCCATTGCCAGGAGTCAGAATGATTTAGGACTTTCAGGCTCTAGAACTGTGAGAACATAAATATCTGTTGTGTAAGCCACCTGGTTGGTACCACTTTGTTACAGCAGCCACAGGACACTGATACATGTAATAGGATCATTTCTTTGGCTGCAGAAACTGAGGCTCAGAAGTAGGATTCGAACCTGGGTCAAACAAATTCCAGAGCCCATGCACATGTGCCCCTTTCTAGGCTGAGAGGTGAGTTTGGATGTACCCTTTGTGCAGGGAATAGTTTTCTGAGGACTCAAAGTTTTGCCTATTTGGCTCACA